CAGGGAAGAGCTTATTCTACTGAACCATCTCCCCAGCCTGAATATTCTAAAATTTTGCTGCTAATTTTTGCTGCTGCTCTATGTTTCTAAATTTTTACTCAGTTTTTACTAATAATTTGCACTTAGAAAATTACAACTCTTCTTGGGCAGTAATTTTGGACTTCCTGACAGATAATAGATATAAAAATCTTAGTTATTACTATAGTTTAGATTGGTACTGGAGTGTGAACCTAGGTCCTTGGAATTGCTAAGAAGTATCCTACCACTGAGTGGTAACTTTTATTTTGAGACAGTCTCACTGAGTTACCAAGGCTTACCTCAAGCTTCGGATCCTTCTGCCTCAGAATCCTGAGTAGCTCAGATTACATGCAAGTGCCACACACATGGCTTAAAAATCTTAGTTCCAATGGATAGCAGTAGATATATTGCAGAAAGTCCCATGAAATATGCTAAAAATTGATAAATAATGGTGGGAGTAAAAAATTGTCAGCTTTGCCCTAGAGCAACTCTGGATTTTGAGGTTACTTTTTGAATTCCAATATCAAAATAAATCTTGGACCACAAAAATGACAACTCCTCAGCAACAATCCAATTAAACCAAACTACTCCACCTTTACACTAGTCCCAGACTTTCAACTGTTACTGATCTCTTGCAAATATGGCTAGCAAGGTGAGAAAACAGCAGCTTGCACGTTCATTTAAGCCCGAGTGTAGAATGCCATTGCAAACAAAACACTTGCCAAGTTTGCTTTCAGTTCCTTGTTCACAGACTCTTAGCGGACGGACTCTGAAGGACCCACATCAACTAGCCAGTCATTGAGTGTGCAGGCAGAGAACAGATGCTGGCCTCTTGGGAATATTCCTGAAGGCAGGTGCCATCAGCTGGAGGCTAGCCCCAAGACTTCTTGCCAGCCTGAGTTTCTACTTTCTAAAATTTTAACCACTGTCATTCTTGAAAATATTGCTGATCTTCACAATGCTGCTCAAACTGTAGGGAATGAAGGCCAGGGCTGGGTTGTTACTCCTGCCAAAGATGAATGCCTTAAAGCCTCTGTCTCTTGCTGCTGGGCCGGAGCTGTCATCCTGTCAATTGACAGTGAATGCCACAGTGTCCTCACCTCTTCCTCTTTACAAACTGGCTTAGGTTGTCATATGCCTAGGCTCCACACCCGTGATTCTGAGTTGAGGCCTGGAGGACTCACAGCTCAGAAGCTCCAAGGTCACAGCGGAGAGGATTCACACCTGCACCCAGAGTCCTGCCTCAGCTGTGTGCCCATTTCTCCCTTAGTGGAAGTGAATTCCCCAGTCAATTAAACTGTTTTGATCTAAATTTTTTTTGGTAACTATAATCATGAGTATTATAAGTTATTACTAATCAAAGAATATGAAAAAATTAGGACCAGCTAGTTTGGGGGAAGATTCTAGAACAAGGAAGGAGATGAGGTGAAAAACAGGACTAGAACCAAATCTGGGTAAAATAATATTTTTGTTAGACTTTTGAAAACTTTTTTTTCTAATTCTTTGAAAAATATACTTTCAAAATAATCAAACCCCCAATATGAACAAAATACTTAAGAACTAAGTGGAAGGTTAAATAAAACACTATTGGCAATAGAAAATTCCTGTTACTTGTAAATGTTTAAAATAAGAGCCAAAGGGGCATGCAGTTTTTAATCCACTTGACATTTGGTAAGTTTCAGTTAAAAAAGGTTGATCCTCTATACTCATAAAAAGGTTAACTGAAGATTACTATGGAACTAAAGAAACCCATCATTTTTAGGAAAATCTATCACTCTTAAGAAATAGCATTTAAATAGTAACAATTTAAAAGGAACATTATTGTGCAGGGCACTTAGAAAGCCAGTAAGATATAACACTTAAGCAAACTCAGTAGAAAGCACAACATCATCAAACTTTCTCCTTGCAGAAAATGTATGAAGAGACAGTCTTTTGCCTCTTATATTCATACAGTCCCAGAAAGCATGTGAATAAGATCTGTGTTTGACAGATTTATGTCCTACATCATATCTGCTTTAAGAAAAACACTCATTCAAAAGCCTACACTATGAAAAACTACTTTCAGGATTTTTTTTATTTGGTCCATTGATCTAACAAGTCTGAGTTCTTAAATCTTTTACCCCAAGTTAAAAATTGGAGCAACAAAACAAAACTCCAGCAAGGCATAAATAAGATATTAAAGTGCGTATATACAATCCCAGAAAAGTTTTGTTTGGGAACAGCAAAAATTTCTAGTGCAAAAACTGCTTTTGCCAGCAAAGCTCTCTCTCTGGAAACAAGGGCTACAGAAAAAGTTAAAACAGGAGCAGGTTAAGCAATGCCTGTCTTTAGTTGAGTCAATATATGTGCATGCACCAGGGGCCCACACTATGTTCAGTCTTGTGAAGGGGAGGGTTTCTGGGGACGGTATGGGTGCCGTCAGAATTCCCTGATCAGTGCTTTCTTCATGTGTCCTATAAACAAATTCATCAGATGTGCCATTAGCTGCAACTGGGGACATAAAGCATAAAGAATAGATTTTGCAATAGACTGGTGACTTAGGAAGAGTACACACGGTTGCTTTATCTTGGCTTGTCTTGCACTTCTCAGTTCTTCTTTTGAACCTCACCTTGACTCTGTTTGTGCTTTTGAATCTGAACAGAGACTGGGCATCGTTTGTAGAAATGAATTCCCTTGGGTTATATGACCATGGCCTTTTGAATATCTGATTTATCCTTGTCGAAATTCATAATAAAAGTTTCTCACTTCTCAGTACAATAACACAGAAGGGTGGGTATTATTCTTTATTCTTTTTTTCTCTTCCTTCAAGGATCCAAGTTGAAAGCTCTTAGGAGGACATCCAGGTCGCCAAGATTGGCCGCCTGGAACAGTTCCGGTTGGTCCATCAGTGACAGTGCAATTCTGAGGGCAGCCCAGATGTTCCCGGAGATTGCAGGGTGAGGAACTTGCTGTTGATTCCTGCTCTTTCTTTGCAAACTGAGGGCAGTGAGAAAATTGCTGACCGCTTCTCTGAGAAAGGAGAAAAACAGACATTTTAAGATGCAACAAAGTTCAGATCTAGCAAACTTTGAAAACAAAAAGAGTATGTTTTTATAGTGTGAAATCCTGTATCACTCCTCCATGGTCTTTTAGATGATAGGTGAACAACTTTCTGATTCTCTAATTTTTCTTTTGTTGTATAGTGAATCATTATAATAATTATCTTGCTAGGATAATCATTATTATATACAGTGAAATCAGAGAGAAAAAAAATAAGAGTTTGCGAATGCCGTGTGGGATAAGAGTTAATCCACTGCTAACCCCTTGATGCATTTGATTTCTCTCTGTTCTAGGAATGATTTGAACACTTAATCTTCTTGCAGGTATGATTTCTTTTCTTTTTTTTTTGTATTTTAGGGAAGGGTCTACAGGATGTTCAGGGTCTCACTACTAGAATGGATTCATAGTGATTCGCCTGTTTACAGCCTCCCAAGAGCTGGGATTACAGGCGTGTGCCACCACGCCCAGTCTCAGTCACCATCTCAGTGTGTCCTGGGAGTGGGGCTGGAATGGCAGGCCCAGGGATTGAACTCTGGGCCCCTGTGCCTGCTTGAAGGCGCTTTAATCCACTGAGCTATTTGGCCAGCCCTTGGAGGTATGATTTCTATCATGAGACTTTAAGAAAAAAAAAAAAAAAGCCCTACTCAGAAACACTGTGTCTAATTTTTCCTATTAGTGCTAGAGATGTGGAATAGAGGTAGGAAGAAGCTGGATTTATTATCAAAGTATCGACTTGTATCCTGAGCCATGGGAAAATTTCTTATCTTCTCCCAGACTGTTTTTCTGAGTATGTCATAGGGATAACAGAAATTATTTTAAAACTTCATGGTGAGGGGCCCTTGTGTCAATGTGAAAACTCTTAGCCTTAAGATCAATAGTTCTAAAATTGTGGTCTTAGGGAACCTTGGAATTCAATGAGGTCAAAACCATTTTCACAATAAAACTGAGATAGTATTTGACTTTTTACTTTCATAGAGTGAGATTTTCCAGAGATTATATGATGTAAAATATCTTGACAGATTGAATGCAGAAGTTGATATGAAGGTCTGTCTTTTAGTGAGCAAGGGATAAAAGAAATTTGCAAAAATGTAAAATAATGTCACTTCTTTCTAGACAATTTTGTTTAGGGAAATAATTATTTTCATACACAATGATTTTTATGTTAACATGTACTGGATTTTCCCAGTTTTGAATTAACCTTTTAAGGTGTTTCTAAGTTTAATTTCTAAAGTGGTAAATATTGATAGCCAAAATCTATGTAAACAAAGCCCTCTGGGGTTCTCAGTAATTACGAACCATGAGCATGAGGTTTGAGAATCACTGAGTTAGCTGCTGTCTGTCTATGCCTGTGCCTGCTGCCAGCTGCCCCTGCTCGCTGTGCCCTGTTCTGCAGCCCAGTGTCACCCTGACCTTGTATCACATATCTCACAGGCTGACTCTTGCTAGGAATAATCATGCCCCTTTCATTTACAACTGCTTTATTCTCAAAAACTTGCCCACACTTGGCCTTACCTACTCCCAGAAAGTAGTTACTAACCATGTGGAAAGTAACCAGGAAAGGGAGGCTGGTTTTCTAATTCCTGTACATATGGCCTGGCACATGCTCATCTATTTGGTTAGATCTGCCCGCAAGGGCGAGGCAGAGGAAATGGTGGGGCTGCATGTGGCAAGCTGGGTAAGAAAATGGAGTGGGTGTCCTCATCACCCCTCTGCAGGGAGAGGAGGCCCTAGAGGATGATGGGCACAGGAAGTCTGCCCTAGAGCCACTTCCTGGCCCTGCTCACACGGTGGCAGCTCCAGCGCAAACATCTTCCAGACTCATGATCCTAGGCTGGTAGGAACTCTGGCAAAGGTAAATCTTAGAGTCCTCTCATTCACCAGCTGCTTGCAACCCCAAGGATGCAGCAGCAGTTTCAGAGGGGTTAGAAGGATTACAGAAGAACAGTCTAGTTTTTTGGCCTCATCAAGCCACTCCAAGTTTTTGCATGGAGGTAACATAGACCTACTCTTCAACTTGTGACTCCAGAGACCATGTGAGTGACTCAGAATATTACATACATGTGTGTATGATTGGTTTTCTAATGTTTCACACATATATGCATAGATGATGGCAAAGAGTTTGTGTATATTATGTTTAATAAAATGCTTATTTATTTAAAAGCCCTATTCACTTTATAAAAGGCAGCTTTCTCTCATTACATGGATATTAAAAGCATTACTGCCAAAGGGGAGGGATTCTTCTTTCATTAAAAAAGATCCTTGGGGCCGGGGAGATGGCTCAGTAGAATAAGTGCTTCCCTGGCAAGCACAAGGGCCTGAGTTCGATCCCCGGTTCTGCCAATTAAAAAAAAAAAAGTCCTTACTTTTGAAAAGCCTAGGATTCACCAGACTAAGCTATAGCCTGGAGCTCCTGTTTACGAAGGTGTAACATCTTAAGCTCTACCGACAGTCTGCTTTCCTATTTCCATGGTATACAGCACTAGGGTAGAGCTTGCCTTTAACTCTATAGAAAATTGAGATGAAATCCAGCAGCACATTCACAGGCACCTGACATTCTTCAGGGAGATGTCTTTTGTGAAGATGGAAGAATTTCTTCCATTGAGGGCTATCATTTCCTAGGCATATACCTATACCCCAACTTAAACTCCTTCTCAGAATTCATGTTTTTGTTGATGATATTTTTTCCTCAGGAGAAGCCACAAAATATCACTTTGCAAGGTTTCCTATAGTTGGTGCAACAATAAAAGATGTGCAAACTTATTTGAGATTTTGCAGAGTAGCTCATCGATCAGGGTTGTTATATTTAGCAAATAAAAACACAGGATGAGCAGTGAAATTTGACTTTCAGATGAACAATGAATAATTTTGTTATTCAATTTTAGTACAAGTATATCTCATACTGTCTGGGAGTTGCTTTTTAAAAAAATGTATTTGGTACAGGGTCTCACTACGCAGGTTGGACTCATAGTGATCCTTCTGTTTTCAACCTTCTCAGCGCTGGGATTACAGGCATGCACCACCCACCATGCCTGGTCTTGGGTGGCTGGCTCAGTGCTCCCAGGGGCGGGGCTGGCGGGGCATGTGGTGCGGGGGATCAAATCCCCATCCCTGTGCTTGCCTAAGCAGGTGCTTTAGTCCACTGAGCTATCTCACCAGTCCTTCTGGGAGTTACTTGTAATAAAAACTTACTTGCTGTTCACCTGAAAATTCAAATTTACCTGGCAGTTGTGGATTGATTTGTTCCTATCCAGAAGACATTATGCTTGAGGATTTATATTTCATAAGTCCACAGAGATACTAATGTTTACCTGTCATAGTCTCCAGCCAATAGCTCTCCCACTGAGTGGGCCCCTCAAGTATTATTTTTCATAAGAAAAAGCTACAGTGAAGAAAAAAAATCATCTTGACAGCTTTATAAAAAGCCTCCTTTCATTGAATGCATATATATATATATATATATATATATATATGTTTTTGTTTACATCTTCCCTTGTTCCAAAAGAGAAAAAAGATTTAAGCTATCTCATAAAATACATATATATCATATATCAATAAAATTATGAAAAAAAAGGCTCAAGAGGTAATTGAGGTTGGGCAAGTCAGATGGAATTAGAAGTGAAGTCAGAGGGCTGGCCAAATAGCTCAGCAGATTAAAGCACCTGCAAGCAGGTGCAGGGGCCGGGGGTTGATCCCTGGGCGGGCCATGCCAGCCCCACCCCCAGGGTTTGCTGAGACAGCAATTGAGACTGGGCGTGGTGGCAGGCACCTGTAATCCCAGCTCTCGGGAGGCTGTAAACAGGCAGATCGCTACAAATCTGATCTAGTAGTGAGACCCTGAACACCCTGTAGACCCTTCCCTAAAATACAAAAAGGAAAAAAGAAAGAAAAAGAAATAGAGTCAGCATAGAAGGTCAGCAGCAGCTGCAGACAGCTGTGTGCAGGGAGGCGGCCAGGGCCAGCTCGGGGGCTCATGGCTGAGGTGAAGAGGGTCTCTGAAGCAGCGCTTTCTCTGTCCAAGTAAAGCAAAGCAGCTGCCGAGCAGTCACCCAGCCCTTTAACCTGAGGGGCTAATGTTCTTTGTAAGATCCTTTTGGCATAACTGCTGCAACGGTTTTCTGAGGCCTACTTCAGTCTTTGCTGGTGGCAAAATGCACAAAGGCAGCTTGGCAATTCTTCAGCTGTCCGATGAACACAACCAAGTTACGCAGTTCTCTGAAGATTCATCTGAATAAACATGATAATCATTATCATAAATGCTTGCTGGGCCCTGATGTCCACTCTGTACGAGGCAATGAACGTCATTTGCGCAGTAATCCTGCCAACTAGTCCTAGCTGCCCCCCTGCCCGCCGCCCGCCCCACGCCTGCTCTTAAAAGTGAAGAAACTGAGCTCTAAGTAAGAAGGGAGCTGTCATTTGAGCCCAGGCTCATCTGATTATAATTTGGCTTTTTCAGAAAACGAGAAAGGGTTTACACTTTATGGGCTTAAAACTAATGTTTAGTTCCCTTTTCCCAGTTGTGGAAGTGATATTTGATTATTCAGAAAACAGAAAAATAAAGAAAAATGTCACTCATGCATTCATCATATAAAAGAAGTGACAGTCATGTATGATCCCTGATAATCGGAAAAGACAGAGATGGCGAACCTTGAAGAAAGGGAGGACAGCAACCACGAGGAGGAAAAGGACGAACAAAGAAAGGGAGAGGATGTATTTATGTGTATGTACAGGAATTGCACTGCTGATTTCTGCTGGTCTACTGAATGGAAACGTTAATGCTTAAATTCTTTTTCTTTTTAATTTCTTACGACTTAAATACCAATTTTGCATGCTTATATCTGGTAAGCTAAACTAATTTGAAGACAACATTATGCAATATAACAACCATTGTTGAATTCCTATTATTTTTAGTGAAATTCTGTTTCTTTTCTTTTTTTGTTTTGTTTTGTTTTACTATTTTAAGATTTTCTTTAAAAAAGAAAAACAATGAGATCTAGTTAGTTCTTTGGAAACACTCCCTCAGGCTACTGAGCTCAGTCCCGAGTGGGACTTTCAGTCTGCCTGCTGGTGTGCCTACCTGTAGGCGCCCAGGTTAATACAGCTAATCCCCAGGTTGTATCGGGACCGGATGAAGCCCGGCTGGATCTCCAGGGCTCGTGTGTAGGCCTCCACGGCTTCTTCACTGCGGTCACCATTTGCTAAGGTCGCCCCGAGACGATTCCATAACGAATAGTCCTGATAACAAAAATCACACTTGTCACTCTAACAACCTGAACAAGCCACAGTGACCCAGTGTTCCCATAGTTCTCTGCAGGAGAAAGAAGAGGGCTAAAATTTATGCATCGCTCATGGACAGAGACTACGTTAAGGTGAATTACTCAAAAATCTTCAGGATGATTTTGTGAAATGACTTTTGCCCATCAAAGAGCTGTTACCACTTGACGCTGTTAGGTGCTGATGTTTTTACTTTAGTGTTTTAGATTAATAGCCTCTGTAGCACATCATTGATACTGATCACTTTAACACTGAGGGTAGTAGGGGGGTGGTAATGCCTAGAAGGCATGTACAGAGTGTAGCTTGTGAAAACTGCAGAGAAAATTAAGGTGTCTTGCTAGGCTGAGCTTTCTTACCTCTGGTCGAACAGTTAAGGCAGCGTTAAAAGCATCTATTGCTCTGTTAAATTCTCCACTCAGGTGGAACAGTACCCCTAGACCTGTCTGCAGGTCAGGGTCAATCATATCTCCATTTTGGTGGGCAGCTTCCAGATACAATTCTTTCACCCCTTCCAGGACAGAGCTACAAAAGAAAAAAGATTCATCAACCAAATAGTCTGGGCCTAAATGATTAACAACTAAAGCTCTTTTGACTCTATTTCAAGTCTCCCTTCATTACCAACTGGAAAATTTTGCTAAAAATATCTTACTCAAATGAAGTGACAATACAAAATGTTAAAAATACAGCCAATTTTCCCGGGGTCAAAATTTCTGCCAGTGGTGCACACTTGTCATTCAGCTACTCCGGAAGCCGAGGCAGGCAGATTCCAAGTTTGCAGCCACCCTGGACAACTCAGCCAGACCTTGGTCTCCCTACCCTTCCTAAAAGGGCTGGGATGTAGCTCAGTGTTAGTGTGCTTGCCTAGCACACACAAGGTCTTGCGTTCAATCATCATTACCACCCAAACTAACAAACAAACAAACCAAACCACAAAGCCAAAATTCCTAGAAGAAAGGGCTTCTAGGTGCCCATCTCTAATTCTCAAGTTGTGTAACACATGGTACTCATTGTACTTTAGGAGCACTGAGTGTTTGAAATATTTGGCTTTGAAGTATGATACTTGGATAAGTGTCTCTGAATGCACGCAAGACAGTCCCTGTGACCAGAGGATGGCTGCTTTAGCATACGCGCTGCTGAAGTGAGCACCAGGATGGCTGCTTCAGTCTGATAAATGTCCCTTCCCCCAAAATGCACTTGTTAAAGACTTGGTCTCTAGTACTGCTGGAAGGTGGTGGAACCTTTGGATGGTGGAGCCTGGTGGGAGGAAGTTGGGTTACGGGGAGATGTGTCAGTGAAGATGCTACTGGGACCCTGGTTCCTTCTTCTCTCTGTTTTTCCCTCCTGGCTCCCATGAGGAGAGGAGCTTCCCTTGCTGAATGCTCCCACCATGCTGTGCTGCTTCACCCCAGGCCAATAGCAACAGGGCCAGTTGACTGTAGACTAAAACTTCTAGAACCTTCCTACAGGTTCATTTTCTGTGGTATAGTACTTTGTCATACAATGGAAAACAGCTTGATTGTGGCATAAATCTTTCTCTTTAGGGCTGCTCTTCTAGCACAATGATGTTCTAAAAGTGAGGCATGAGGGGTGGCAGAGATCTGATTAATTATCCTGAAGGTGGCTGATTGTGTGTATGGGTGTTTACTGCCAGCCAAGATCTAGTAAGAGGGATACCTGTCAACTGGGGTCTTAGACATCCGCCGAGTGAGGCCTGGAGATCCCTTCTTGCTCTTCACGAGGTATTTGTACTTTGGGTTTTGCCTAATCCAGTTCTTCAGAGCTTCACAGGCATCTTGCTGATGGCCAGTGTTTGTATAGCTCACAGCCAAAGCCATCAGAGCTTTCAGGTTATTGGGCTGCAATTCTAAGCACCTGAACAAAGGTCAAACAAATAATTTCAGATATTTTTTGGCCTAGCATCTAATTGCATTTTAGAAAATTTGAAGTGTTTTTAATTAAATCTTGCAAAAGCATTGTTAAGTTTGTTGAGGTCAAGTTGCTGAAAGACACCATATTTCTTCATCTGAAAAGTGAGTCCAGAGTATTTTTAAGGAAGTTAAAACTCATTCTGGTGACTGCCAATGTTGGATAATTTTAATAAGTGTGTTTACAATGATAGGAAATATAAGCACATAAAGTGTTAATAACCTAATGGGAAGTAAGGGATATTATAGTTTAATGATGCTTTATTACCTTATCCCCCACCCCTAGTGAGATTTGAACTAAATTTATGCATCCAGAGAGGAAAGACTATACATTGCTCTGTAAGGGAAGGGTAACTTCCAGTGCTTCCATCTGCAGATGTGGGGTACCTGGAAACACAGGTCATCCCTGCTTCTCCTATTCGATGCCACAAATCTCTATCAAGGGCTTTTCTCACTTCTACATGCATATGAACCAGTCAGGGATCTGGTAAGCTGTACACTGTATTATAGAGGCCTGGTGTGCAGCTCAGGGTGTGCAGGTTTGACAGGTCACTAGGCACTGACCATACGGGTAACTCCTGGATAAGCCTCGAAATCACAGCTCTGTATCTATGACCTCCCCAAATAGCAAAGCATGGTGATTTAGGAGCGTGGCTTTATTGTAAGTTCTTGTTTTACAGAGCTAAATGTGGGTGATATATGGCAGTCTAATGCTTATCTGGGTCAAGTTCTTTACGCAATACCTCAACAAAGGTCAAGAAAAATTCAAAACCCAGAAAACCCACTGACAAATGCCCACCAGGCCCATTATTTTGCACTTAGCTCCAGCTACCTCTGGAGGGCGACAATGGCTGCTTGTTCATTTTCATTCTCTGCCTGGGTTATCCCAAGAAACTGCCATGCCTGAAACAAAGGAAACAACTAATTACTTGTGTGCTTTTGTTGGTTTACCTGTGACAGATCTCTTATGCAATACAACCTGGTCGAGATGCAACAGCCATGTAACAGGGAAAAATATCCAGTGCCTTTCTGCAGATTGTCTTGTGACATCTGGGTCATGATGCTGTCCCCAGTATTTTCATCTTTTCCTACATCCTAGGGCTATGGACATCTCTGAGTTTCTGAGATTTTATGATATTAGGTATCTTAAAATCAAAAGATGAATGTGTAAAACTATACAATTGTGAGGAAAATGGGTAGAAAATAACCCAGAAATGTAGCTAAATAGTCGAGTTTACATTAAGAAGTTTTAAGAAGAGATATGCTATGTGAAATCCTGATTATTTCTAAGCCGGATTATTGGTGATTCTTTATATAGGACAATTTCCACTTTGATTTCCTCTTTCAAGAGTCTTAGAATACTTGTGAAGAAAAGATCCATCTAACTGTCTTTTCCTGAGGGCTTTAGCCTTTGGCCATGGTGCCACCTTCATTATCTACAATATCATTATCTTTGCCTTGCAGTCTATATAAAGCCTTGCCTGGTATCTGTTCAGTTACCAAAGACCTTAATTTTCTCATTTTCAAATCTGGAAAAGTGATCTATACTTTTCTTTCTAACTTCCCAGTGTTGTATTGAGTGATATGACAAACACAAAATATCTGGTAAAATACATACAATTTATAAATGCAAGATGAGGGCTGGGCAAATAGTTCAGCAGATTAAAAGCAGGCGCAGGGGCCTGGGGGTTCTTTCCTCAGCCTGCCGCCGTGCCGGCCCTGCCCCCGGGCACCCTGAGATGGAATTGAGACTGGGCGTGGTGGCACACGTGCCTGTAATACCAGCACTTGGGAGGCCATAAACAGGAGAACCACTCCGCAGTGAGACCCTGAACACTCTGTAGACCCTTTCCTAAAAATCAGTCAATCAATCAATCAATCAATCAATCAATCAATGCAAGATGAAATTATTTCATATATCTATTTTTAAAAAATTACAGTATTTTTATAGCTTTCAGTTTAATCTCATTTTACTGCACATCTTTTACCCAAAAAGAACACTAGGAACTTTTGAAAACTGAAAAAATGGCATTTGGTTTACTTATTCTTTGTATCCAAGCTAAGTACATTCAACAATAAGAAATGACGGTTCACCATTAATGTGCCTGGTACTGATCTGAACACCTCATTTGGAGGAAGTAAGTTAATCCTTCCAACATCCACTGAGATAGTTGCTGTTGTGACCTCCATTATGTAGAGAGGGAACTGAAATTTAGAGGACTTTACCGAGCTGTCCCAAGGCAGGGATAGCAGGGCCTATATTGTCAGGCCCTCCCTGCACAGTTGTGATAACAGGGCTTGGAAGGCTAACCACTATTCTGTAGTGTTTTTTTGACATGTACAGAGAGCGAGAGAGACAGACAGACAGACAGACAGACAGACAGACAGACAGACAGAGACAGGCAGAGAGAGCAGAGTGCTAGAGTTTTAGTGGTTTCCTATGGTTTTCTGATGTAGTTCAGCTCTTGCCTGCCTCCCCTGCCATTCTGGACCATGTTTGACCCTCACATAATAATTCGAGCCCTTCTGTCTAGCACACACCATTACTTCTTTAAAATAGCTTTACTTCCCTATTCTTTTCAATTCTTTCTCCATCAGAACTCAGCCCTGGATACGTGTGTGCAGGGAGGCCAGGTTGGCATCGCTGCCCTCTGCCTTCCGAGCATCCTGTCCATGAAGCCTCTGACTTGGTGCTTACTGAATTGCATTGCTTTATTTCCTTGCCTCCCCAGTAGACCATAAAGGTATCTTTTCGACTGTTATATTTTTCCAGCTTTTCAGTGTCTTAAGCCAGAACCTGGTGCAATGTTTTGGAACAGAGTATGTGTCCCATAAATATTAAGTGAACCAATCAGGGGCACTGAGTGGTGTGACCCAAGACCCAGTCAAAAGTGCACACTGCTCCTTGGAAACTGCTTTGTGTTTCAGGTTGGTAAATTCAAATTTTCATTTCCAATCCTCAGCCCTTCTCTTTGGAGATTGTGCACACTAAGCTGGTTAGGAAATATATACCTATTTGCTGCTTTCAGTCAGAGGTCACACTAAGCCATGTCAGTGCCGCTGTGAACCTTTACATGATGAGCCCTGTGGCTTCCTGTCCCTCACTGGCACACGCAGCCGTGCTAAGCCTGAGGAAGTGAAGGGGAAATGCTACCTCCGCATCTCCAGGGTCCTGGAGGATCGCTGCCTCCATGAACAGGATGGTGACTGGCAGGTCCCCTTCCTTCAGCCTTTTCAAGCCTTCTTCAAATGCTCCAGGCCAGTCCTTGAAGGGGTTTTCAGTGTGAAAGTAATATCCCTACAGCACAGAGAAGCGCCATTACACAATCTGTCGATTCCTCTCTTCATTATATTCAGTATGATCTCTCTAAATTTCAATTAGCTTATTTCACTTGTTTAATTTATTCAATTTAAATAAAGTTTAAACTACTGTTTTTTCCTCATTGTGAATGCATGCATTCTCAGTGTACAAATTTTAGGAAATGCAAGGAGAAACGAAAAGTTTCTCTAATGTCAAAACCTAGCTATGACCACAAGTGCTAATATTTTGGACTATTTTTCCTGTTATTTCTTTTGTCCTTTTTGCTTTAACTATCTCCCCTAAAGATCAATGAAATATTGACTCTTCAGAAGTACTTGTGCTAAGTGTGCCACCCAGTCCCCTGAAATAGTCATGCATACTGTACCTCTGTCCAGCTACTTTGACCCTCTAGAGAGCTACAAATCATTGTAATATCTGAGATCTTTTTGTTTGTCCCCACAGAACCCACTTATTTTTTTTTGTCCTACTGGGGCTGTATTTCAGCTACTAAAAAATATATGCTTTAAAGATGCAGGGTTTTTTTAGTTGTACAAATTTAAATGAAACAGAATGTACAAGTAATCATCTAGTATTTTCCAGAGAATATAAATTAAACAAGTAGGCATGTTGTATGGATACAGTCTTGTGGGTTAAGACATATTTATTTCTATATTGTGATTATTTTTCCATGTTATTACAATTCTTTAAATGAATGTGTTAAGTTTATTTGCCCACTCCACTACTGATGGAGCTCATGTTATTTTGGAAGTTTTTTTTTATCATTACTAAAGCTAAAATGAAGGCCTTGTGTTTGAATCTTTGTCTTCATTTGCTTAATACCTTGGTATGAAAATTGGAACTGCATCCCCATTTCAGCCTGTACCAAAATCAAACCAAAATAGATCAAAGATCTAGACATAAGAAACTTTGGGACTGCTGGGAGAACATATCAAGGCAGCACTTGAAGCCATCGGCACAGGCTAAGGTTTCCTGAATGGAACACCAATAGCACTGGAAAGAACAAATATCAAGAATCAATGAATAAGACTGCATTAAATTAAAAAGCTTCTGTACAACAAAGGAAACAGAGTGAAGAGATAAACTATAGAAAGGCAGAAAACTCTTTGCTAGCTGCTCTTCTCATAGAGGATTAATGTCTAGAGTATATCGAGAACTCAAAAACTTAATACCAAAATGACAAACAGCTCAATCAATAAGTGGGAAAATGAACTGATCAGAGACATGTCAAAAAAAGCACAGGCAATAAGTAACAAAAAGTGTTTAAAATCTTTAGCCATTAGGGAAATGCAAATCAAAACTACACTGAGATTCTTTCTCACCCAAGTTAGAATGCTGATCATTAAAATACAGAACACAATGAATGCTGGTGAAGATGTCAGGGGAAGGAAATTCTCCAATACTATTCTCGGGAATGGAAGATATGGAACTCAGTACGAAGATTTATACCACTCTTAGTATGGTATGGTCTAGAGAAAATTATAGACAGCCTAGTGAAGAGAAACATGCACAGCCATGGGCAAACTTCACAATAGGGAAGCTATGTAAACAGCCTAGATGTCCATCAACTGGTGAGTGAAAGAAATCTGGCATACATACACTGTGAAGTGGTACTCAGCCATAGAGAAGAACAAAAGGATGTCATTTTGGGAAAATGAATGGACCGGGAATCATTTTATGTCAAGTAAGCCAGACTCAGAAAGTTAAATAACTCATGTTTTCTCCTATATGAACAAGCTAAAAAAATAAATAAGAGATGATAGGAAGCGAGAAAGGAGACTTTTAGCGAAGAGTGAGGAAGGTGATGTAGGAAAGGGGAGATGAAACAGAAGGGCTTAACAGGGATGAAAATAAAACATGTTATACAAATATACCAAAAGGAATCTCATTAGCTTGTGATACTAATATGCACCAATAAAAAAGACCTAGATTCCTTAAACAATGAAGGCTCTGATCCCAGGGCATAAACATGATGACTGATGGAAGGATCCCTTCCTTGATGAACAAGGTCAGGTATAAGGCATTAAAAAAAGAAAAGGAAGGAAAGAAACAGAGAGGACCAGATTAAGCCCAGGGTGCTGTGGACATGGCCTCCCAGGAGTGATGGGCTAGGGGCCCCAGTCAGGGTCTAGCGACCTGCAAGGCTTCTCTTCTTACCACACTTAGTTTTCTTTGTGCAAAAGACAGCTATTTTTAGTGATAGTTTGATTTTCTGGTGAAGAACAGAGATGCTTGAAGGAGAGAGACATTTCACTGACATAGCTTGCTAATCCACTAAAATCGGACTCGTGTTCCTGTTCCTAGAGTAGGGTACATATTCAATAAGTATTTGTTGCACTGAACAAAACATCATGGACCTTATCTAGAACTCAACATGATTGATAATAACTTCATGACAAGAACCTTCAATATAAACAACACATATACCATTTTTTTCTGTGTAAGACAAATTCCATATTTCTTTTCTACCTTTCAAGTAGTGTCCCTTCCCCAACAAAGTGTTGTGAAAGACTTCAGTCCTAGAGTGCCTGAGCCTTCATGGGTGATTCAGCTGTTTAGTCACTGGACTTGTACAGCGTTGAGGCTGCTCCCATGGGGGTATCTCTGAGGAACGCCCTTGGGACTTGACCTGGTTGTGTGAAGGACATTTTTTTCTACAGAGATTTTTTTTCCTATGTAATGACCATCTGTGAGACACAGCTCCAAGTCCTGGTTGACTCTCTTGTCACTCTTATTGCTGACCTATCAGCAGGCTTGCAATGATTGGCTGGCAAAGCATGGTGGGTGAGTCTAGTTCTCAGCCCGCCCATCTAAATGTTAGTTCGTGCCTGGCCAGCAGTCTGCACCCAGCTTCTCATTGGCTGCCTACCAAAGGCTTGGCTGCCTCTTCACAGGGATGATTATCTTGTTTCCATCTATCATAATTTCTTCTAGGTCAGACTGACATTAAATTGTCTTTAATTCTTAAGTTCTTGACAAAGTTTGGACTCATCTGTAAAATATGAGCTGCAGAACCTGAGGTGGGCATTCGTAAGGAGAGAATTAGTTACCTTCTCGCTTGCTGAGATTGTAACTTGGTTCTGGGCTTCTTGGTTCTCAGAAATCCAGTTTCTCCGGGCCATTTCTTCCCATTCTGCTTGCATCTTATCCCAAAACTCTGTATCTGACTGGAAGACAGAAAAAATGAAGGGAGATATATTTAAGAACATGTTCTATTATCTGGTTTATTCCCAGAGAAACAGGTTTTTTACCCAATAGATTCAAATGAGTTTTGAAGAGGAAAGGTTAGATCCAAAGGGTTTTTTTTTTTTTTAATTTTTTAAAAAATATATTTAGTACAGGGTCGATAGGTCTCACTACACAGATTGGACTCATAGTGATTTTTCTGTTTTCAGCCTCCCAAGTTCTGGGATTACCGGCGTGTGCCACCACACCCAGCCTCAGTTGCTGTCTCAGTGCACGCTGGGGGAGGGGCCAGTAGGCATGCTGGGGATTGAACCCTGGTCCCTGTGCCTGCATAAGCAAACACTTTAGTTTGCTGAGCTATCTGGCCAGCCCTGATCTAAAGTTTTGAAGAGGATCAGTTGTGACTTTCTGCAGCAGGAATGTAACTACCACATGAATAGCCAGCAAAGCATGTACACCAAATTCATCTAAAAATTTACTGCAGATGTTCTTTGATTTACAATAAGGTCATGTCCTGAGAAGCTCACTGTAAGTTGAAGCTATCCCTAAGTAGAAAATGCCTTAATACATGTAGCAGATTGAACATCATAGCACAGCAACACAATACTCTGTGAAGTATCAGTTGTTTACCTTTTCGGTCACGTGGCCCACTGCCGAGCATCGTGAGTGCTCTAACTCATCAGCAAAGTATAATTTCTACTGAATGTGAATCATCTTTGTACCATTGTAAAAACAGAAAGTTACAAGTTGAGCTATTGTACGTTGTGGACTTCTGCACTGATAAACAGATTCCAGTATGGATACACTAGGGCCACGCTTTAGGAGGGTTGCTCCAGAGTTCTTGGATTATGAGAAATAAGAATAACTGCTTTGGGATTGGTTGGGCAGTAACTTGGGAAGGCAGCTGGCTGTGAATAAGAAGCTGATTTTACTCTGTGACAAGCACCACTGTCGAAGAAGACTGAGCCAGGGGGCTGTGGTTCCGAAGCTAGGATTCATAGGCCCTGAACCTTGTCTGGTGTCCAGGTTTATCAGTTTATTGAAAACTTCCTCCTGGTGTTAAACAGTGAAGGATTCTAGCTTTGGGTGGGAACCTAACTGAAGTCTCATGATCTTTTTTGTGATATTTTGAAAAATACTTGCTCTCACTCTCGCTCTCGCTCCCTTCAACTTGCTCATACATTCCCTATATGTGAAATCAGGCTGTTTGTTCCCCTTGACTTCAAGGCAGATGTGTGTTTCTTGGGTGAAGCAGAATTTCTCTTCAAGAGCTGCTCCTGGTTGCCTTCTGTTTTATTAAGCTCCTCCTTAAGAGAAGAGGAAGAAATGAGTCTCAAAGAATACAAGAGAGGTAGAGGTTGAGGGTGGTTGGTTCTGATTAGAGGGAATCTGGAGCTCAGCATTTAGGTGTTTTCTGGGCATGAGGGCCTGACCTCAGGAGACGACTGAAGGTGCCACTGGAGAGCTGGCTTAAATACTGATACCATGTGGAAAAGAACAGAAATAGAACCTGAATTCTGAGCAACCATTTAGGCTTGGATGGCAGTCAGTTATCACAACAGACAAGAGGGTAGAAGCTGGTCTTTGTTTTTTTGGCTTTTAGATTTTAAACCACTCAAAAAATGAGTCACCTGTAAGATACTTGTTACTCTTTTATTTTCTTTAAGCAAACCAAAACCCAAATAACTCCCCTCAAAAAAAAAAAAAGAAAAAAAAGAAAAAAGAGCTTCCAAAATCACACACACACACACACACACACACACACACACACACACACACACGATGGTGTTCCTTAACTCCTGAGCCTGGGGCTGAGATTTATACTCTTACTTGCAAATCTCAAGTTTAATGTGGGCCAGGGAGATAGCTCAGTGGCTTAGGCACCTGCCTGGGCAAGTGTAAGGTCCTCAGTTCAATCCCTGGTACCAAAAAAAGAAAAGAAAAGAAAATGACCTCAAGCTCTATGTGGGTCCTGTGACTTGTTGATACATCAGGCTAATCTTCCCCTTTGAATCTTCCTGGAAGGAAATAAATGCCAGTCCTATTTGATTAATTCCAAGCTATGGAATAAGTAGTAGGTCTTGATCTCTTCCCCTCTGAAGTTCAGAATATTCACCTAGCTACAGAAATGGGTTTTATCTTTTGGCTGAGACCTCCCCTTAATAAAAGCTCATGGCAGCAAGGAACTTGGCAATCTGTGTTTGAGATGTTAGAAGCACAGGGAATGCCCACTAGATATGTAGGTAAAAGTTAGGAGTAAAATACAACAATTCTCTTATGTTTGTAGGGGAACACTAAATTATGCAAGCACAAGTTTTTCAATTATGTAAAAGCGATGAATAAATAGATCAAAGGAAGAAATATGCCACCATGGTAATAGTGATCTACCTTTGAGTCAAGATTGGTGGTGTTTTTCTTATTTTTCAAAACTTTTTGCACTTTTATGAATTTTTCCTCATAAAGATGCTTTACTTTTGTAATTAAATAATAAGGTTAAAATGAGAGAAAAGAAAAATAAATTATCTTCTGTTGTTTTCAATCACAGAAAAGCTGAATATTATTAGATACTAAGTGGGGTGGCACTCTTTTTTTTTTTTTTTTTTTTTCCCCAGAACCAGGGATTGAACTCAGGCCCTTGCGCTTACCAGGTAAGCACTTATTCTATTGAGCCATCTCCCTGACCCTTATTAGATACTAAGGAGTTTGGAGAAAATTTCAGAGGTCTCATTTTCTTCAGTAGTTTTTCAAAGGTGCAGGTTAAGCTCATTTGCATTACAAAAGTAGAAAAATCTACCAAGTGAATTTTATAATGTTTACTGAATTTCCTTCACACCCCTTCTGAGGGATGTGAAAAGCCCATGACTCAAGGCAGATGTGTCCCGCTAGCGACTATCTTTGAAATTTACAGTGTACTACAAGTTTTCTGAATGAAAGGTGAGGGTAGTTTCATAATGTTTACATGTGGGTTCCAAGAGGTTGTTTCTCCTTTCCTATGGTGTCATTAGAGCAGTAGACACGCAAACATGACTGCAGTGGGAAGCAGAGCCACAGCTGGGGTGAGGCGTGCAGGGCTCTCTTTTAATAAGATACACCCAGACTTATCTTTTCAGTTAAAATAAGTTACTATAGACTAATTAAAGTGCATAGCACAGTTTCCATTTCATTACAGAAGACTACTTTTAGCATAATCAATTTTCATCATCTCAGAACCCCATATATTCACATAGCTGCAATTATCATAGCTGCTCCCCATTTTTAACAAATTTTATAGAAACCTGAAACATGTTGGAATTGCAAATATTTTAGCCACGACTAAGGAGATTTTACTTATTGATGATTTTTCTATTTTTTTTTGATTTTGATAGATTGTAGCTTTACACGTGACATGATGTTATGCTTACATTGGGAGTAAAATATTGTTTGCAATCTCTTTTCATTTTTTGAATCAGCTTTCTGATGATAAGCACTTGGGATATACAGAACTGAGTTTAGGAAGAATAGCCTTCTTTGTGGGTGGATCTGGGATCAAATATTTGCTCCATCACTGATCTTTTGCACTCTCTGGGTCTCATTTTTCTTGTATTTAAAATGAAAACATAATAGAAATTTGGATTTCTTGTTATGATGACTAAATGAGAAAATGTGTCTGGCACATGGCAGATGCTCAACATGGTAGACCTCAATAGCAGGTGTTCTCTACTCCTGTTCGATATACACTCAGCCAAGAGAAAGAAATAAAAAGAATGTGTGTGCAGGAAATAAAGAAATAAAATTATCATTATTTGAGGATGACATGATCCTTTACACAGAAGATCTAAAATTTCCATCAAAAGATTCTGAGAATTGATAAACACTTCAGCAGTGTAGTAGGATACAAGACCAACACACAAAAATCAGCGATCCTGTACACCAGTAATGAACACATGGAGAACGAAATTAGGAAAACAATACCACATGCGATAGCATCAAGAAAAATTAAATACTTAGGAATTAACACAACAAAAGAAGTGAAAAACTTCTACAGTATTCTGAAAAAGCAGGTGGAAGAAAACTTTAGAAAATGGAAAGATAACCATACCCCTGTTCCGGAATAGGCCGAAGTAACATAGTCAAGATGGTTATATTCCCAAAACTGATATACAGATTTGATACAATTCCAATCAAAATGTCAATAGCATTTCTCATTAAACTAGAGAAAACAATCCCAAAATTCACACAGAATCAGAAGACATCTGGAATAGCAGAAGCATGGGCAAAGCAGGGAGCATCACAATTCTGAATAACAAGTTATATTGCAAATCAACAGTGGCAAAACAAAACAAGAACAAAACCAAAAAACCAGCATGGCACCAGCACAAAAACAGACATGTGGATCCATACAACAGAATAGAACATGAAGAAACAACCCCAGGCGCATTCAGCCATTTGATTTTGGACAAGGAAGCCAAAGCACCTCCTGAAGATACAGTCCTTTTAGCGAACAGTGCTGGCAAAATTGGCTATCCAGATGTGGAAGATCGAGTCTAGACCCATATCTCTCAACATATGTTAAACTAAAATCAAAATGGATAAAAGATCAAAAAGTTAAAACAGAAATACTGAGCTTTCTGGGAAATAAAATAGGTAAAGTTCTTGAAGTCAGAGGTGTAGGCAAGGACTTTCTGAAGAGAACCTTGGTTTTCTCTATCTGTTGATGGATTTCAGGGCTGCCTCCAAGACTTGGCTGTCATGAGTTGTGCTGCATGGGTGTGCAAGTGTCACTGTCCTGATGGTCAGTCACATGGGCCATTTTTTTTATGCATTTATTGGCCATTTGTACTTCTTCTGAGAAGCATCTATTTATTTGAGTTTCCCATTTTTTGACTGAGTCTTTTGAAAATTGAAGTTCTCTTCAGAAAGCCCTTTCCTACACCTATGGCTTCAAGAACTCTACCTATTCTATCTCCCCAGCAGGTTCAATAATTCTGTGTTAACATTTAGA